ATGAGGGAGAGGGGAGCGGGGAGGGAGGGGGAAAATGAGGAGCTGATGCCAGGGGCTTAACTGGAGAGCAAATGTTTTGAGAATGATGAGGGCAACGAAGGTACAAATGTGCTTGACACAATGGATGTCTGTATGGATTGTGATAAGAGTTGTGTGAGCCCTAATAAAATGACTAACAAAATAGCTTTCTATACAAGAGCAGTTGAGTATTGAGAAAACATCCCCGGCCAGTCTAGATCAAGTCCATAGGTATAACACTGGCCCATATGTCCAAAGCAGCTCTGAACCACTCTTCTTCTTCCCTTACTTTGCTCTCTGTTCTTCTGGATTCCGCCACCCAAACCCCCCACCCCCACCCCCTCCCCACCTTTACATCTCTCTAGGACAGCGGTTCTCAACCTGCGGGCCTCAATCCCTTTGGGGGTCAAACGACCCTCTCGCAGGGGTCGTCTGAGTCATCACAGTAGCAAAACGACAGTGATGAAGGAGCAATGAAACGAATGTGATGGTTGGGGGGTCACCACCCCATGAGGAACTGTCTGAAAGGGTCGTGGCGTGAGGAAGGTGGAGAACCGCTGCTCTAGGAGCACTGCTGGTGTAGTGAGTTGGGCTGCTAACTACAAGGTCAGCAGTTCGAAACCACCAGCTGCTCTGTGAGAGAAAGACGAGGCTTTCCACTCCTATAAGGTTATAGTCCCAGAAATCCAGAGAGGCCTTTCTAAAGGGCCTTGCAGGGCTGCCAGGAGTCAGCGTTAACTTGATTGCAGGGAGTTCGATTTGTGTCTGAGGAGCCATGGTGGCATTAAGTGGTTACGTGATGTGCTGCTAACTGCAAGATCAGCAGTTTGAAACCGCCAGCCCCCCACCCCCCTTGGGAGAAAGAATGGGGCTTTCCACTCCCGTAGAGAGTTGCAGTCCCGGAAATCCACAGGGGTAGTTTCTACTCTGAACTGTAGGGTTAATAGGAGTCAGGTCTGGATGACAGTTTTAGTGACTGATGTCTCCCCATTCTTTTCTTTTTTGCCTTCATTTTCCTTGACTTTTTTTCTTTCCTGTTGTCCTTCCTCCGCCGTCCACCCCG